GCTTCAGAAATGCTTGTTGATTGGTAGTCCATCCAGCTGCATAACCTGGGTCTAGACTTTTGACATTCTTTACCAACTTAGTCTTTATTTCCTGTGTGGATAGCTAGACTAAACTGCTTTGAATACTTATAGTGCTCATATATGAACATAAGCCGTAGTTAATTATATCCCATAGTGACACATGCTTAAAAAGTGAGCTCTTTGAGGGGACCCCTTTGAAAAAAAGATTGACCTCTACTCCTTACTTAAGTATGCAGTACAACAACTTTGGCTGTCTGTGAGAAGTGAAATGATGGCTTTATTTAGTTCTAAGAGTGGCTTGAATGTTTTTTGAATGCAAACAGTTGTATTAGTACTGACGTGCTACATAAAACCCGTTCATGCCCTCAGTGCTTTTGCCTCTTTGTCAGGTTTAAAATGAAGGTGGGGAAACAAATGAAGAAACCAAACTGAATACGTGTGCTGCTTGGCTGAATCTTTTCCCTTTGTGTCCATAAACTCAGCAGGCAATGATTTTGCCTTAAAAAATGTCAGAACTAACACCTATGTTTATATGAGTACTTGATAAATATTATTGCATATGAATAGCATTTGATATGACCCACTGAAGACCCAAATTGCATTTTTCATAAGAGGTGACAAATATTTTGCTAAAATATCTCTAGTACTTTGTGGTAGGTGACCAGGTTGGTTTGATAGCTCACTCATCTTCAGTATAAGTCCAGATTATTCGTAAGATGAACAGTGATCCATACTGCTACATATCGGGTATAGAGAATCATTTTGAGTCTTCTGAACACTGTTACAGTATTGTTTTAGAGCAGTGGTGTCAAGCAGGCTGCCCAGTGGTAGCCATATGTCACCCACAATACTCCTGAGTATAGCCTGAAGCAGATTAAAATATAATTGGGACATATTTAACAAAATAGAATAAAAATGCAATAAAACATAGATAATATTAATAAGTGGTTTTCTGGGCCAGTGTTCTTGCAGGCAGTTTTCTGGATAGTTTAGTAACCTCTGTTTCTGTTGAAGTTTGGCCCTACTGCTTTAAAGGACTTGGTCGGTACTGGTGTAGACCATTTTCCTCCCTAATTCAGGAGAGAGGGGAGGGGGTCAAAGTAGAGGGAGAGGGGAAGGTAGGGGAAAGAAGGCGATTTTTTTATTACATAAAATTTAAAAGTTCTTACATAAAGAAAACCAATCCAGTTAAATAGTAGAAGGGAAACAGGCACCTGGGGAAAAAATAGTCTCAGCAAGTTTCTATGTGAAGGATTTCTTTTTCCTTTTAATCCACTGGCATGAGATGGGAAGAAGAGTTTGGGTAGGGTAAGGGTAGCAAAAAGAAAAAGAAAAGAAGGAAAAGAGAGCATCCTCTTTTAAAAATGTGCAGAAGAAATCAGGCAGAGGGTCAGAAAAAAATCACAGAGAATTAGGGCAGCTTTGAAAACTACAGCTTGGATTTAGGATGTATTTTTATGTTGTGGAGAACCATGTTTTCATGTAGTCTTCTTTTTCTGTTCAACCATACATGGAAATGCCCATTTTGTTAGGTGTTAAGTTCAGAATAAAATAACAATTTAAAAACAAAGTGAATGATTGGTTTTAAATTTACCATCAGTTTTATTATTACATTATAAACTTTGAATTAAATGATAAGAAGCTTTGACTGATGGGAAAAGTATACTTATTATTATTGAATTGGAAGACTGTTTAATAGTGGTAAACTGCTAAGAGCGTTGGATTTGAGGTAAAAGTACCTGGCTTCCAATCTTGAGCTCTGCTACTTATAACCTGAGTGACTTTGGGAAAATCATTTAATCTCTTTGGATCTCAGTTTCCTCACCTGCAGTATGAAGGTATGGGACCACAGAAGTTCCTTCCAACTCTAAATCTGTGACCCTATCAAATTTCTTTTTCAGAAGAATTTGTGGATCAGTATAATTTGATCAGTAGACTGATCATAAATTTTTTTTTGATCTTTAAACTGGCAGGGACTTAATTCACTCCCTCTATGAAGGCGTATTAAGGAGTGTTCCAGTTTCACAGATTGAGCAGCTACATGGCTTAGTGGATAGAGTGCCGGGACTGGAGTCAGGAAAGCTTATCTTTTCAATTTCACATCTGGTCTCAGACACTTACTAGCTTTGTGACCCTGGGCAAGTCACTTGACCTTGTTTGGCTCAGTTTCCTCATCTGTAAAATGAGCTGGAGAAGGAAATGGCAAATCACTCCAGTGTCTTTGCCAAGAAAACCTCAAATGGGGTCACCGAGAGTTGGACACTGCTGAACAACAAGAACAACAGTTTCACAGATGAAGGAACTGAGGCCCAGAGGGGTTAATGACTTTTCTCTGATGTTTATCAGCATTTTTCCTCTCCCTATCCACTTAGCAAATTAGAGTCAAAAAGCAAAATTTACTGATGCTTGCAAAACACTTTGAGATAGTCTAAACAAAAGGAACATAGTACCTTTTTTCTCTCCCTTTGTGTTACAGTACCCTTCATCCAAAATTGAAAACTTTTGTATTCGAATTTATGTGAAGGTAATTGTATAAGTTCATTCACAGATGTTTATCGTATATTTTTGCATGCAGATGGTGCTTGAATATAGATAAAGTTTAGACAGAATGAGGCCTAACTTACCTTAGTTGAGGAGTAAGAACAGTTGTATTCTGGTAAATTTTTAACAATTGGCTTTCTGGGAAAAAACATTCTCACCACACACTTTTAAATTTAATCTGTGTTATTAACATTTTCTCCCATCACTTTCTTTGGCCTAGACAATCAACAAAACAATAAATCAAGGTCCTGATTTGTAGTGTTTGCCAATTTCTGTGGTCTTAACTGCTCACACTGAGAGTTTCACAATCACCTTCCATGAGCCAGTTTGAGCTGGCGCCAGCATACCTAAGGATAAAACATAAAAGTAAATATATTATATCATGAATTAGTTAAGTGAAGAATTCCACAATCAAGTGTTCTGAGAAGGCCAGGGTGGAGGTGGAGTGCGTGGGGAGTCACTGACTGCAAATGAATAAGTGAATGAACCAGTCCTCATTAAGCTCTTACTGTGTGGCAAGATACTGCTAAGTGCTGGAGCTCCAGATCCAAAAGCAGGCCAGTACCTGCCTGCCCTGCAGATGCTTATGTGTTAATAGAGGAGTGTGGTAGCTAGGCAGAGGTTTTTGAGTCTGTGAAATCACTTGGATGATGAGCATCGCCATAGGGCTATTTTTCTTACAAAAGCTATATTGATTTGATTGTAGTTCCATAGGTAGAAATGGAGGGGGGCACTGGTGGAAAGTGGGGAGAGGAAAGCTGCATGGACTTGTGGCAGGAGGCAAAGAACAGGAAGGAGGAGATTCTGGGCAGGGAGAACAGTATAAGCTCGGTCTCTGAGGTCATTGATTGTCAGGTAGGCTTTTTTTTTGGGCAGAGGATGGTGGGGTAGAATTGAGTCCATTTTGGCCATGTCATTTCCTTTTTTAATATCTGAAAAGCACTGACTTTATTTTAGGCAACACTGTAAAAACCACAAAAAAACAAAATCTGATTCAATAAATCTTATTATGTGTTTTCCTTTGTTAGTTGAGAGGAGATGCTATTTTGGTGGTGCCTTTTTTGAGGTGATATTTTAAAAAATTGTCAGGCTTCTAAGAATTTGTGGAACTTAAGTCTTGAAATAATTTAACTGTGCTCTCTGCTATATGTAGTGGTCTACCCACTTATCTATATTGGACTAGAGGTTATTAGTTGAAACTGTGGGCTTGCCAAGGAGAGTGAGTGTTGGGAAAGAAGAGGACCGAGGACAGAGAGCTAGAAATCTTTTCTATTAAAGGTATCATACATCTCAGCTGTTCTCAGTCCTGGTCCTGTGATATCCCAGGTTGTCTTCCCAGGTTTGAAGGGGTGTCATGCATCCTAAAGTAAATTTTGTCTAGTAGAATACATGTTGTATGATCTCCTTTTGAGGATTGCATGTGATATATTAAACAAAAGATAGTAGGTTGTTATGACCCCCAAAAGGCAGAGTTCCTCGATGTGGTGGAATGCTTTTGTTACTTTCTAACTGAGTGGATTTTTTTTCTCTTTCCAGCAATTTTTTTTCATTTTTTCTCCAGTTTTACCTTTAAAAATATTTTGTTGGTATATCTATCACTTCTTAATCAACACCTGCCTTCCCCCTCGTATACCCCAACAGTCCTTTGACACGTGGATAGAATACTTTCTCCAAATCTTGAATCCTGCCTCAGGCATTTACTGTCTTACTTGTTGTGTGACCCCTGGCAAATCACTTAACCTCTCTGGGCCTCAGTTTGCCCATCATTAAAGATGGGGATAATAGCACCTACTCACTGGATTTTGTGACGATAAAATGAAATAAGATTTGTAAAGTGCTTTGAAAACCTTAAAAGTGCCATAGGTGTGAGAGCTATTATCATTATTTTCTTAATATGCTTCCTTAAAAGTATTTTAAAACAAAACTGTTTAACACAGTGATTACAGAACTTGTAGCATTTTACTCTTACAGTTTAGCATTTCTTAGCAGAGAGAGGAACCTCTCTCTGGAGCTTCTCTGGAACTCTGTGGAAGCTCTCACTGGAACTATTCCAGTGATCCCTTCTGGACTTTGATGCTAATGTAACTTTGGAAATCATGTGGGTCTCTTCTGATAATGGTGCTGCTCTGAGGAGTACTCCTGGAGGGAGGAAGCTTCTAGAATCTCCTTTTGTTGCAAGGCAAGTGGCTTTGTTATGGAAGGTGCATGGTTGACAGTGAATTTTAAGGGTGAAAGAGATCTGTGTGGAGTGCGGACAAAGGAGAAGCATGATTCGGAAGTCTCTCTGAAAGAAACTCTTCTTTGATAGAGACATGTACGTGCTTACAGGTTGCACACTAAGCTAGCCCTTCTTTGGTGAGGGTGTTGTTTGGGCTCCAGAAATGGGCATATCAGTGTGACGGTGTGTGTCTGACAGTGTGTGTTCTTTGTGTTATTAGGAAGACATGAATCTAAATGAAGAACGAAAAGCTCCCCTCCGAGATAAAGATTTTGGCACCAAGCATGAGATGGTTGTCCAGTACATCTCCGCCACTTCCAAGTCGGTGAGTAGCCACAGCAATGGGTGAACGTGGCCTTCTTTGCTTTGCTCTTATGTGCAAATCTTTGCATTTCTTCATCAACTTACCCTGCTTGACTATGTGAAAAGGAAAAAAAAAACACTACATTTTGTTTATATTATGTACTTAAAAATGCTCTCAACTGTGGATATTAAATTCATTAGAATTTATTAGATATCTCACAACCACCAGTAATCTAAAGGGTGATTTTTTAAAATAATTAAAAATCAGTAAGATTGAAATACATTGCTTTGGGAGTAGTTGGGAGAGAGTTTTGGAGTAGAGTTGGTATGGTCTGGAGGTTTTAAGTAAAGTGTCATGAAAAGCACAAATGTCTTCCTTATTTATTAAAAATAATTCCATATTTGGGGAAAAGATCACTGCTCTAGATTATAGGGTAGTACACTGGTCCCCAACCTGCTATAGGGTAGCAGAGCCCTTTCAGGGTTTGATGTTAGTTATTACAGAGGGTCTACAAATGGTATGCGTACTAAAGCATTGTCATTTGGATCTTTCTGTAGCTCCAGCAAGCTAGAGAGCCAGTCAGAACCATAGGCTTATCAGTACTCCTCCACAATAAATGTAACGTCATCTTCTTCTGTCCCTGCATACTGCTGCTACTCTAGCCCAGTCTCTAGACTTTTGCAGTAACCTCCTCATTGATCTGCCTGATTTCTGGTCTTTCCCCTTTCATGTTCAGCCTTCACATAATGGCCAAATGGAGGTTCTTAAAACACAGGTCTATCCATGTACCTTTCCTACTGAAGGCCCTTCAGTGGCTCCCTGTTGTCTTGAAGTTAAAACCCAAACGCCTATATTTAGCATTTAAAGCCCTTCATAATCTGGCTCCAGACTGGCCTACCTTTTTCAGATTGATTCACATTTTAATCCTTTTCATGTACTCTGTGTTACAGCCAAGGTGACTTGTTGGATCTGCCCCCCACACATAACAGTCCATTGCTCACTTCTGTACCCTCTGCACAGAAATCCAATGCCTGGAATGTATTCTCTCCTTACTACCAGCATTTGTAATTCTGAGTTTCCTTCCCTGTTTATTTAAGTAAGGGGCCTTCTATGTGAAGATCTCCCTGATTTCCCCAGTTCTTAGCGTTCTTCTCCACCCCCAGATTACTTGGTATATATTTTGGTGTTTACTTATCAATATGTACAGATATGATTGTACAGAAAATACGGAAAATCTTAGAGATTTTTGTTTTTGGATCCCCCAGTGCCTAGCACAGTGCCTGGCACATAGTAGAAGCTGTATAAATGTTCCCCCCTCAATTTATTTGTTTATTTTTAGTTTTCAACATTCACTTCCACAAGATTTTGAGTTCCAAATTTTCCCCCTTTCACTCCCCTGCCCCCACCCCATGATGACGTGCATTCTGATTACCCCTTCTCTCAATCTGCCCTCCTTTATATCACTCCCCCCTCTTATCCCCTCCCCATTCTATTTTCCTGTAGGGTAAGATAGATTTCTATATCCCTTTGCCTATGTATCTTATTTCCCAGTTGCATGTAAAAACAATTTCTGACATTCATTTCCAAAACTTTGAATTCCAAATTCTATCCCCTCCTCCCTACCCACCCACCGTCACTGAGAAGGCAAGCAGTTCAACATAGGCTATACAGGTGCAGTCATGCAAAACACTTCCATAATAGTAATATTGTGAAAGACTAACTATATTTCCCTCCCTCCCTCCTATCCTGGCCCCCATTTATTCTATTCTTTCCTTTGTCCCTGGCCCTCTTCTAAAGTGTTTGCTTCGGATTATCCGCTCCCCCAGTCTGCCCTCTCTTCTATCACCCCTTGCTCTCTTATCTCCTTCTCCCCTAATTTCCTGAAGGGTAAGATAGATTTCCATACCCAATTGGGTTGTATGTTATTCTCTCCTTAAGCCAAATCCAGTGAGAGTAAAGTTCACTCATTCCTTCTCGCCTCCCCCCTCTTCCCCTCCACTGTAGAAGCTTTTTCTTGCCTCTTTTATGTGAGACAGTTTACCCCATTCTACCACTCCTTTTGTCCTTCTCCCAGTGCATTCCCCTCTCACCCCTTAATTTTCTTTTTTAGATATCATCCCTTCATATTCAACTCACCTTGTGCCCTCTGTCTATATATATATATATATATTTATATATATATATATATATATATATATATATTTCCTCCAACTACCCTAATAATGAGAAAGGTCTCATGAGTTACAAATATCATCTTTCCATGTAGGAATGTAAACAGTTCAACTTTAATAAGTCCCTTATGATTTCTCTTTCCTGTTTACTTTTTCATTCTTCTCTTGAATCTTGTATTTGAAAATCAATTTGAAAGCTAAAGAGTTAGCTCTGGCTTCTTAAGAATGCATTACATTTCTCTGTGTCGTTGAATATCAATATTTTCCCCTCATTGATAACACTTAATTTTGCTGGGTAGGTGATTCTTGGTTTTAATCCTAGCTCCTTTGACTTCCAGAATATCATATTCCAAGCCCTCTGATCCCTTAATGTAGAAGCTGCTAAATCTTGTGTTATCCTGATTGTATTTCCACAATACTTGAGTTGTTTCTTTCTGGCTGCTTGCAATATTTTCTCCTTGACCTGGGAACTCTGGAATTTGGCTATAATATTCCTGGGAGTTTTACTTTTGGGATCTCTTTTAGGAGGTGATTGGTGGAGTCTTTCAATTTCTATTTTACCGTCTGGTTCTAGAATATCAGGGTAGTTTTCCTTGATAATTTCTTGGAAGATGATATCTAGGCTCTTTTTTTTTTTTTTTAATCATAGCTTTCAGGTAGTCCAATAATTTTTAAGTTATCTTTCCTGGAGCTATTTTCCAGGTCACTTGTTTTTTCCGATGAGATATTTCACACTGTCTTCTATTTTTTTTATTCTTTTGGTTTTGTTTTATAGTTTCTTGATTTTTTTTTTTTAGTGAGGCAATTGGGGTTAAGTGACTTGCCCAGAGTCACACAGCTAGTGAGTGTTATGTGTCTGAGGCCAGATTTGAACTCAAGTCCTCCTGACTTCAGGGCCAGTGCTCTATCCACTGCGCCACCTAGCTTCCCCATAATTTCTTGATTTCTCATAGAGTCATTAGCTTCCATTTGCTCCATTCTAATTTTTAAGGAATTATTTTCCTCAGTAAGCTTTTGGACTTCCTTTTCCATTTGACCAATTTTGCTTTTTAAGGCATTCTTATCCTCTTTGACTTTTTGGACCTCTTTTGCTTTTTGGTCTAGTCTATATTTTTAGGTTTTATTTTTTTCCAGTTTTTTTTTTGGGGGGGGTCTCCTTTAGCAAGCTGTTGACTCATTTTTCATGATTTTTTTACATCACTCTCATTTCTCTTCCCAATTTTTCCTCTACTTCCCTTACTTGCTTTTCTTTAAAATTTTTTAATTTTTATTTATTTTTTTATTTTTTAGGCAGTTGGGGTGAAGTGACTTGCCCAGGGTCACACAGCTAGTAAGTGTCAAGTGTTTGGTTTGAGGCTGGATTTGAATTCAGGTCCTTCTGACTCCAGGGCCAGTGCTCTATCCACTGCGCCACCTAGCTGCCCCTCTTACTTACTTTTCAAAATCCTTTTAGAGCTCTTCCATGGCCTGATACCACTTGATATTTTTCTTAGATGCTTTGGATGTAGGAGCTTTGACTTTGCTGCCATCTTCTTCTAGTTGTATATTTTGAGTTTCTTTGTCACCAAAGTAAGATTCTGTAGTCTGAGTTTTCTTTTTTTCTCTGTTTGGTCACGATCCCAGCCAATTACTTGAGTTATAAACTCTTTGTTAAGGTAGGGGTCTGTTTCTGGTGTGGAGAATGTACTGCCCCAAGCTTCAGGGGTTTTGTGCAGCAGTTTTCAGAAATACTTCTAGGGACCTGTATGTTTTCAGTTCTTCTAAGGTGGTGTAATCTAAGGAGAGGTGTTTACTCCTCTCCTGGCTTGTGCTCTGGTCTGTGAGTGACCACAAGCACTCTTTTCTGTCTTGGAACTGTGAGGAGGGTTCCATCTCCACTCCTGCCACACGCTCTGGTGTGCTAGTGTTCCTCCTTGCCCCAGGACTGCCACCCGGGACTGGGACCCAGATCTAAGCATGGGCAAAGCAAGAGAATCCTGCCTCAGAGCCAGCAAAGAGATCCCTGCAATCCCCCTCTGATCAGCTGCTCGATCCCCCCACCATCAGTGAGCAGAGAACTCCAGAAGCAGCTGCTGCCCTGGGGCTGTGCTAGGGCCAGGGCTTGACCATGCTTCTCTCTCACCCAGGTCCAACAGACCTTTCCCACCGACCTTCTAGGTTGTCTTTGGCGTTTGTGGTTTGAGAAGTCCGGAAACTGCCACAACTGTCCTTGATTCAGTCCTCTGAGGCCTGTTCCAGGTTTGTTGGAGCCCTATCTTTGCCTGTGGGGCCCACACTGAACTGCGCTCCTCTCCCAGCCCAGCAGCACAACAGAGCTTCCCCCTCGACCATCCAGGTTGTTTTGGCCTGGAAATTTGTTTTACTCTTACTTTTTGTGGGTTCTGCTGCTCTAGAATTTGTTTAGAGTCATTTTTTTTTTACAAGTATTTGGAGGGCTGTGAGAGAGAGCTCAAGCCAGGCCCTGCTTTTACTCTACCATCTTGGCTTGACCTCCAATATATAAATGCTTTTTGAGCTGAATTTGTTATTAAAAAAAGCAAATGTGTCTTCTGTAGAATGAGTAAATAAAGTGTTTCTCCCATGTGACCATTTGCTCAATGTATAGAATTGCTCTTGTGCTTTGAGTAGAATCATAGATTTAGGGCTAGAAGGGGCCAGAGTCACCATCTAGTCCACCACCCTTATTTTCTACTTGAGGTTATATGACTTGTCAAAATGATCTGACATGTGGGAGTTAATAGAGCTGGGATTAAAACCCAGATCATCTGACCTCCAAATCCCAGTCTTCCTTCCCCTGCCCTATGGTAGAAACTCATTTAAAGATGTTACTAAATAATATAGTAGCTTTCG